TATTAGGATATATAATTTTTAAATATATTAGAATCCTTTCTTTGAACTTTTGTTAAGTAACCTTTGGAGTTGGTGAACAGTATTAGATAAAGAGAGGCATCAAATTCAAAAGCGAAAAATTCAAAATAAAAATCTAATCTCTGTAATATGTGTAATTCTATATAGTAATAATTCTTTCTAGCTACAGTGCATCCGATGTCGCAAAATCGTGAAAGTGAATAATATCTATTCCAAAATTTTTCAAAACAGGACTATATCAATCATATTTAATTTAATTTAAAATATTCATAAATAAATGAAAGTCGTCATGGTCATCCGAGTTTCAAATGTGGTATAAACGATTATATATTAACTTTTAATAACTGCTTTCTTGTTTTATCCTGCAGCTGAATATACATAGACTTGTGAATAACGATTTGAGTTTCATCGCTAATTCCATTAATTGTATAGTTAAACTGAGCGACAGTTCCCTAACAAAATTTAGAGCCGATTTAGTCTGGGTGCTGTACACATGAGCTATTAACGACAGCTTGCATATGCATGCGGGTGCACTCTTTTGTACAGTTGCAATTCCTGTTTCATTGTAGTTTAAATTAATGCAGCTTTTTCTCTCATGATTCTCTATTACTGAAATATTTCCATAACAGTCGTGAGTTTAATGACCGTTGAGAACTAGTAAAAAATTACATAGAGGCGTTGAACAACATAGATGATTTAACTTTTCAAGTTAATCGTTCACATCCTACTTCCATCAATTACTTGGTATCTAATTCAAGCATCAAAATACATGAAATGAGATATTCAACAAATTTAACTTGAAATTGTCTTGAAATAAATTTCCAATTTTCTATTAGAGTTTCTAATAGAGTTCTAATTTCAACAAATTTCACTGAATATCGTCTTGTCACAAAATATAACATTTCTCTATAAGTGTTTCTAGTTTCTTCAAGAAACTGAGACCAGCATGTGAACTAATTTTTGAGAGTATTTTTCGAAAAATTTCCTTCTGTAAGTTTAAATCCCCCTCAATCACATGGCGCATTTTTTCGTTTGCAGTCAACGCAACGTAAGTGATGACCAGCACGAAAGAACATTTCAAATTTCTTGTCTCGGTAGGTTTCAGTGCAACATCGTACGTAATGCTGCTTACAAAAATGTTTGCAAGACAAAGACTCGTCAACACGTACAAATAATTATTGTACTCCTATAAATATATTTCACTAATGAATATTTATAATCAATAAATGAAAATTCGTATAAAAATGTAGGGCGACGAAAAATAACATAGCCATCTCATTTATACTGAGATTGGATATTATTATTAATTCTTCATTCGTACATTTTACTTATTTCTTCGCACTAATTGTTATACAATCACAAAACAGACACGAATGATTGAGGATGAAAATGAATGAAGCAGGCCAGAAAAACAGATGCAAAATAAAACAGATTTTAGGTGATTAAAACATTTCCATTTTAAGGCCTTTTATCAAAAATAATTTCAAGTAGCACAATAAGAAGATTCTCTCAATTCAATAATAAATTCAACGTATAAAAACTCGCTTTCTAATTTTCGATCGTATATACAGGAGGCAGGGTGAAGTGCGTATCTCAGGTGTTGTTAAGACCGCACCGGAAGATAAGTGAATGCGGCATCAGAAATCCCATTATCGCGAAAGACTTTCAATTGATTGGCTCTTTTCATTAACATGGATCTTTGGAATTTGTAAGCGTCATCAAGTTTTAATGCTGTTGACTATACATTTTTCAGCGTAATTACTTGCCAAGAGAATCTTGATGACGTAATAAACGTTCCTTATAATAGATCGCAACATCTAGCAATTAATTCATTTGTGCTGGCGTTTGATTGAAAACCAAACCTCTTCATATTTGTTTCACGAGAAGTCGTTAAAATCGAAAAATTAAAAGAAAATTGCTTGCCATATATTATAGATAAACTACTAATAAAACATGAATTAAACCCTTTAATTAAATCACTGAAATTACAGTTAAAATTAAGTTGAGTTGAAGTGATGTAAAACTCTCTAAGCTTTGAATAACGCTTAAATGACATAATTTTATTATAGCTTTTTGAAGGTGAACGCTGAAGTTACTCGAAAGCTCCAACCCTACCTTAATTACATTGCAGTATTCGTGGCGAAATCAGCTAAAGCAGGATCGAATTGGCATACTTATATAAAATAGTTATATTCGTACGGCGTGTGCAATCATTATTTGGATTAATAACAATCTCGAAACTACCATCGATTGCATTGGAATGCTAACACGAGCTCCGTCATAAGTATTTTATTTTGTTTGAGACAAAGGGCAGCATCTGGTGCAGGCAGGCTTTGACTAATAAATGTCAGTAACAAATGAGCCATAGCCTGTCATCAATTTGCTGAACTGTGCTGAAATTACTCGAAAAAATTTTCTTGCAGCATGCACGAAACCATCCCCTAAAAATTACTGTGGAAATCAATTAGCCCCAAAATATTTTTGACATTCTTCTTAAATTAAGAAACTCTGGAGAACTAGCATAAGCAAGCATTCTTTTCGCCGATCTATTCTGCCACCTGTAACAATCGATCTTTACATTTGATCTGACTCAGCGATGGCTCATTGGAGCTCAGGAACAGTTTAGCAGCGTCAGTAGTTTATGTCGCATCTCTCCCACGCTGCCATCAACTTCTCAATGCTATTCCATTAAATAAATAAATTACAATCAGTTTTGCTTTGTATATAGCGAGCATTGAACGTATTCATTATTTTTTTGCATAACTTCTTGCGGCATTGTGAATAGCTGAGTCATCGTTAGAGCTGCCGATGAATGAGAATGTTTGTGTGAAATAGATGAGGCGTTTTTATAATTACCTTTCTCGAATAATTTTTATACGTTCATGCTAGCTAATGCGTTGGTTTTAGATTCAAAAGAAATTTACTGTATAAGTGGAAAATGCTCGACTTTTTAAAACTTATATCACTGATTGTTTGAGTTATATATATGAATTTATGTATGTAAAGTGTGATTCCATGGGCGTGTCAAACCATTTACGCAACGCGCTCGAGGTGATATCGGAAAATTGGTTATAAATGAAATCTAGAGCCCCTCATGCCGATCTTATGATTAGTTTCTCGCCAACTTACGAATTACGATACCGTGAGCGGATAGTTACACATATTATATTATTTTACTGATAAGTTCATAAAAAAAAGTCAAATAAATTAAAAGGGTCACAAAAAAAGAGCAATTCTGACCAGTGGAACGTCTTGCTTGTCACTCTAATTTACGATTGCGCACGGCATTGTGAACAGTGAAACATGGCCTCCGAAACACAGACCACTCAATGTAAAACTCATTATATTACCGATGCACGGTAACTGTATTATTTGACATGAATTTATTATTGATGATGACATGGTATCATCTTAGTGTCTCTTATTCTACAATCTCGAAGTCAAATAATGCAGCTATTTGAATATATTTTCATGGGGAAAATTACAGACGCAAAATATCAGCTAGCGTACGTTAAGGTCACGATTGAGACAGACAAACTTGACACAAAAATATTTAATCAAGTTACTTTATGATGCACTGTATGCAGTTTGATTATCTTGAATTTGTTATTAAGTCACATCAATGATCGCCGATTTGTATTTAATAGTTATCACTTACCCTCGTGTAAAGTAAGGCCACTTCGACAGCAAGCAAGCAATCACCCCAACGCGGCAGGCACGTGACGTAAAGAAGGATTCGCCGCTGTGCGAAGCTGCGACGCGACGCTGCGGAGGGAAAATGTTCTCCTGTGTAAACTCTCCTGTGTAAACTGTAGTCGGTCAGTAATGGCAATCAATAGACCCAATTTCTTACATTGACGTACAATTATACGTCAGATATGAGGTAAATTTTCTTCAGGAAATATATTTTTAAAGCTGCTTAAGCGATTTTATTAATCAGAAATTTCATTGAATAGCTCAATGCCAAGTAAACTCTTAAATTAACGGAAGTTGTGTGGAACTTTGCTCAAAAATTTAATTTCATGATCACAAGACAAGTATAGTGAGCAATGCGCTCATAAAATTCAGCAACTTTAAATATCTAAAAATACAATATATATATATATCTACGTGTATATATATAAAAATTGTATGTATAAAAAAGTTTCTAATTCATTCTATGCGTCATTATTACAGGGTCAAAAATATTCATTCAACTTTACTTGATTTTGTTGTAAGTTGCATGATGGAAGTGTGTAACATTTTTCCTCAATTATTTTGTTCCTCCACTCATCTCAACGGATTTACTAACAATGATAAGTGTCAGTTCACCGGTAAAATTATCTATGGGTGGAAATTATCTATGGGCTGGAACGAACTAAAATCTGGGATATTCACTGAGAGTTTCTTCCATAACTAACGAACAAATTTTAATTCGTATTCTCTAAAAACTATATTTGTATACTATTTTCATATTTTTTATAAAATATGATTTATTTCAACAGATCAGTGAGTGATAAATATTTTGGACTGAATTTTTTTGTGTCGTGTTGAGTTATGATTTTACAAGTTGCTATTAATAGTCTCCAATCGATAAATTTTCACTATAATTCATATTGGTTTTATTTGAAGTGGTGTTCTATGTTAAGAAGCTCCGCACATTATACAATGGAGCAAAGCTACACAGATATCGCTATAAAACTACTGCTGCAAACTTTGTTTAGACAATTGTTCACATTATATGTTCTCACATGTACGGAGTACATAATAGCGACATCAAACACTAAGCTATCATACGCACAGCTTGTTAATTTGATTTCTCAATCAAAATTTGATCGCAGAATTTAAGAGATTGAGAACTAAAGTTTAGACTTGATGACACCGCGAAATTTTTCATTATGAAACTATATTTATTTTGAATAATTACAATAATCATTATGAATAATTGTTAATCGATCCTTCTACAGTATAATTTTCTAAAATCTATAAAATCTAGGTTCAAATCTTCATAATCTGCGAGGGATTTTCAATCAAGCGATGCCTGTCAATTCGCAACTTAGTGATTTACAAACCGTTTTCATTGTGTACAAGTCTTCAATGAGGAGCGTTACACTTAAACCATTGGATGGTGATGTTGAGGTGACCACGCCCACGAGCAAGTTCTCCACGCCCCTAGGTTCTACTTCACCGGGTTAACTGGTGAACCTTTGCTGAGTTGAGCTGGTGGTCTCGGCGTAACAAGAGATTGTTAACGCGCGTGATAAGCGCCCTCTAGCGTGCGCGACTCGGTTGGCATAAAACCCTGAACGGCGACGTGTTCAAGTCAGTTTTATCATAAGTTCGTCAGTGATAAGACTCAGAATAGTTCTAGTCGTCATGAGTCTGTGCCTTCGAGTTCTCACTCTCATGGGCGTCTCGCTAGCTGTTGTAGACTTAGTAACGTTGTCCAACGCGAAAACCGTGATACAATTAAATAGTAGAGTCAATCCCTTAAACAATGAATACGTTCTTCCAGGAGATGGGGTATCCAGTCGGTACAGTTATGACCGACCAATTTTGGACAGTGGTCACAGTTTTGGGCAAAACCAAACTCCCCACAATAAACACCGACACGATCACGAAAGTCGCCTGCAGCAGCATCCAAGCGCAGATCAGAGTAGAAATCCAAGACCGCATCGGAACCATGGAGGAGCTGGAAAACAGAACCTGCAGAACACCCAACCAGCAGTTCCTCCGAACGCACCCAAAACCGAGACGGTTTCCGCGGCTGCCTCGCCTGATATTCCGATATACGATCAAGAATTTGAAGAAAGGAAACTGTTTCGAATCAAGCAAATTCAGATCCATATTTTGCAGCAGCTACATCTGGATTCGGCGCCCAACGTCACTGGCATTATTGAGAGCTCAAACCCTGAAATCAAGAGACTAAAAGAAAGCATCGATGAGAGCAACGAAAATATGACTCGGGACACCAGCTATCAACGAGACATGCCGAGAGAGTTCAGCGATAAGAAGATCTTCATTCCCGTCGAAGATCGTAAGTCAAAAATATTCGCTTAGGGATTTTCTACTCATTCATATTTTATTTGATTTCCTTGTTTCTTACAGATGTCTTCTAGTTCTAATTCCTTGAATAATTCAGTCTGTTTTCTAAAATTTATCTAATTTTGTGATCGCCTTACGTATAGTAGTTATATTAAACTTCCCTCTTGTGCATTGAATGCTTTCACTTATTAAACCTGATCATGATCAATTAAAGCTCGTGCAATTGAACTAATTTTAAATGAAATATTAAGCATACAATTTCATTCATTTTGAAACGTTCACTTTCAAGTGGTACGCACAGTTACCCTAACGTACCATAACATTTTTACATTTCAATCGTCAACAAAGTCTGCTTAATAACATGCAAATTTTCTCGAAAAATCCAAAGCCACTTCTAAGCTTTCTTTTATCCTAATTATCATTTCACCTTTTCCAAGACTTGAAATGCTTCCGGAAACAAATTTACTTTTTCCATGCAATCAGTCAATTGTCTTCACCAATATCGACAAATTTTGTCAAGGAAATCTTCAAAAGAGTTCCATAACAAATATTTCATATCCATTTGTTAATTTCCATGTTTTAGAAAAATTTCCTATATTTCTCAGAAAGTCTCGCAATTTTATTTTGGATACTATAGTCCATGTAGGAATATTTCGGCTATCAATGCGAGGGTAAAAAAAAATCATTATTAAGTACGACATTGCTGGCATAGAAGTAATACTTCATTCCGTTAATATCGTGGGACTATGCAAAGCAACATCGAATTAAAAATTAGAAAAAAGCCATGGATTGGTCATGCGAATTTAACTGTGAAAAACTGCGAAAGAAAATTAACTCTTAATTGGTTAACCACTGTCATATACTATAATACTAATAACTTCATTTAAATCTTGTAAGTGAATTTATGGGTCCTGCCTTAATTGGAGCATATAAAATTGGATAAGTTAGAAATTTTACTTTATTATTTATGTAAAATTCGTATGATTTATTCAGAGAAGGAAGTTGGCAAATACAATTATACTAACATATTCATTCTTTCATCAATAATTTCTATGATTATTTAAATACAGCTTGTGTTACTAATTTGACGATGCTACTTACCTTTATATAGGTATTCATTGTTTTCTCTACGATAAGTAGAGAAATTCGTAGGAAAAACAGATTTTAAATCTTGGAGTTACGCAGCGAAGTAGCTCACCATGCGCGCTAAATTGAGTTTTATGTGGCATTCCATCCACGGTACCAACCATAGGTACAATTGAATCCCCATGTCGGTGCTCGAATGCTTTGTTTCCATATTTAGGCTAATTTTTGACAAATTCATCAATCTTTGTGTGTTGCATCACGTTGCTGCGGCAGCCCAAAGTAATAATAGTAACAAAAATGATATCAATTAATAATAATGTTAATATTATTGATAACAATAATAATAAAAATATTAAAATTAATAATAATTGCATCATTCGAATAATTTGTCTCACTAACTTGCGTAGCAAAATGTTCGAGCAGAGATTGAAGAAAATCACGGCTCGTGTGCGTGATTGGATTTGTTATTCTTGGCATATTTTCAACTGCGAATCAATAAAGCAGAAATGACGATTTTAATCAAATTCGTCGATTATCAAATGAGTGTAAAGGTTGCAATAATCCTTAGGGGACATTTTTCCTATATCGTTCGCTAAAGTGGATTACTTAGTTAAACTTGGAATTATACCCAACTACTGAAAATTCCTACAAATTTAATGAAATGTTTCATTTTCTTCTTGACTAAGCTTTGCAATTTTTTTTAATTTCTCTGCATCAAAAAATAGCGCAACGTAACATCGAATAGTTGCGCATTCGTACAAAAAACATTGATACCGCGCAGAATACCGCGCAGAATTGATACAGAAGCAAACTGCTCACTCGCTTCGTTGAGCCTACTGGCAACACCGTGCATTGTTGCCAGGTGACCTGCATAATAATCGTGCATATATGACTGTGTATGAGGGATGCACATGTGCTTTGCTCTGCTCCCAGCCAAACCTAAGAAAAGAATTGCCGAATTCAGGTCTTGGCTTGCAACTCGCTTATTTGTGAGCACGTTTTCTTCACACCAGCATCTATTATTTTTATGCACCCGTAATGCACGATAATTATTTGCTTGTTAGTGTTAACATACCCCATGACCGTGACATAATTATATTCATTAACGTAGATGAACACCTTTTTTCTACCGTACATATAAGCATTCGCAGAGTCTTGTACATTCGATTTAAACTGCGCCGATTGACAGGCTCTTCATATATTCTCCAGATGAATGCAATGTCGCTATCATTACTTAAAATAATTTAAAATCCACGTTTGTAGAATTCGCTCGTAAAAATTCGAGCCCGTATATAATGACACATTAGAAAATCTTCCGCATATTCCATAGTTCTACATCAAGATATTAATGTTTTCAGGTCAGATCAAGCAATTTTAATGCAAAATTGAAAAACGAGGACAATGTAAAAGTAATATTCTTCAGCCGTCTAACTTTTACATCGGATTGTTTACTTACTATTATTATTCATGGTACAATATTTGAGCCTTCATCTTTATGAATGCATCTGCGAACAATTAACGTTTTAATTTTGTTATGCGCCCAAGTTAATGCCAGTTGATCTTTGATTTGAATTTTCGTTGAATTTTGTGGACCAAGTATAGGAGGTAGATGAATATTATGAAAACTGCATATCATAATAAAGTCGAGCAAAAATGAAGGCATGAAGCTGAGCCAATATATGGGCCACACACTTCCCGTTACTATATAGAGCTGCTAGTGATGAAGGTCAGATGAATGCGTCTACATACATACGGCCTACCATTGCATATGCAGGGTGAACTACCTTCAACTTAGTTGGCGAAGTGAATTATGCTGCTCTAAACATCATATGATTGAGGGCTCTAGAATCAGCCTATTCTACTTCAGTGTTTACACTGGGCATTCCATCATCACATATATAATCATGGTTTCTTATGTATCCAAGCATGGCTGAGCGATTTGCATTATAAATTCTACGCAATTTTATTTGCTGGCTGCAATTGTTTTAATCACATTGCGCTGCAGTTCAGTCATTGGATTTCCAGTTTCAGGACGAAAATTTTTTCTTATTTTCTACAGCAACTTTTAATGCAGCATCGAGATATGAGTGCTATGTCCTGGAACTGTGTACATTGTACGGGTACAGTACACTGTACAGCCACATCTTCGCAGTTCTATAGTGCGTTAGCGCAGCGATGACTGTTCAATGATTGTTTGAACTGTTCAATGAATGTTTGAACTGTGCAATGATTGTTTGAACTGTTCAATGAATGTTTGAACTGTTCAATGATTGTTTGAACTGTTGAATGTTTGTTTGAATTGTTCAATGCGAGTGCTTTACCATTTTTTTCAGACTAAACAATATAGATTTGATTGCTCGGAGTATGCCAAATGACCTTGGGTGATTTCAAACACTTCACCAATTACCCTTTGCATTATTGATCGGACTACGAGCAATCACCAATAGATGATTACTAGAATTGTTCATAAGTACCATTTAATGATTATTCGTATACTACCTAACGCGCATTGGCTGTGACTGTACTTAGCGACTACTCTATAGGGTTGCAGTTGCGGGCAGAATGATCAGCAAGATCGATGGGCTTCTTAATTAGGGTTGCAAGCGTACAATAAGTGCTGCAGGAAGATACGAAACTGCACATGGTTTGAGCTATTGACATATGTACTGGAGAGCTAAGTCATAATGCGGACTGGAGAGCAGATGGGATGGTCATATTAGTTAATGTACGATTTTTGGCAAAAAGTTGATAGGAATTCTTAGCGATTGTGTCATTCGTTTTAACCAAAACGAATGATAAACCAAAAAGATGGTTAAAAACAGTCTTCCAAAAAATTATCGCATGGTTTGGCAATGCATGAGGTATAAAAGCTTTGCTATAACGCTTTGGTATATAAAAATCGTAAAAATACGATTTTAAGCAGCAGCGTTATTTTTTATCATTGCTTTAAAAAACACTAAAAGCATGAGGAAGTAAGTTTTGAAATACACACACATATCAAACTCTGAGTTAGAACGAATTTCTGCATTGTTTAGGTTTCTATTACCTATTAATTCTTTGTTACGTTCATACTGCTTTCTAAGTTTTGCCAGGTTGCATTGGAAATAAGCCGACCATGGTATATGTTTTTATACAACTATTTCAACATTATGATTAGATATTAAAAATCCTCTGGCACCGTGTAAGGGAAGAAACCCTACAAGTTTAGCCCACCATCACTCAGTGGAGCAGCACGACGACACACGTGGTGCCAAATCACACAGCGAGGGGAGGTGTGTTGTGTGTGGAGGGGTTTAACCGGGGTAGTGAAGGCGCCATATGGAGGAGCAGGAGTTGTCGAGTTAGTGGTCGTCAGAGACATGTAGGCTATGTGCTGCCATGTATAAAAGAAGTAGAAGCCTATTCGCCTGACCTCCATCTATATTGTGCACAAACTTCACGAGGGATATACTCCTGCATTGCGCAGCTTGATGGAAATCATGAAAGGGTTAGGCCATGTTTTGATCGTTTTAAGGCAATGGATAAACGGATAAAATTTTCAGCCAGTACCTTCAAGATCTTTTACTTTGAAGTGCCTACAAAATAGTGGCCTCTCTTCTTGTCCTCTTCAGCTGCGCTCGAGGCCTATTATTTAATGCCGTGGTTGTCTTCCTTTATCTTACATCGAGGTTAAATTAATATATTTATGCAGTGTTTGTGCCACTTGAATTGTTAGCATTGTCCTGTGCCTGTTCTTGCCATTACTTGCCAGCGATTAGCAGATAATTTAATTAATGATCAATTCATTTACGCTATTAATTTTTTTATTTTTTTACTTTTTTAATCAGAACATGCGATTTAATAAGTCGCTACATTTTCATTCCAATAAAATTTTTTTAACTGTTTCAAAAATGTGTACTAAATTAC